TCAATTTCTCACTTTCCCAAATTCCCAAATTCTCAAATTCTCAATTCCCCAAATTCTCAATTTCCCAAATTCCTAATTTCTCACTCTCTTAATTTCTCACTCTCTCAAATTCCTAAATTCTTAATTACTCAATCTTTCAAATTCTCAATCTCTCAATCTCTCAATTTCTCACTCTCTCAATTTCTCACTTTCTCAATTTCCCAAATTCCCAATCTTTTAATCTCTCAATCTCTCACTCTCTCAATTTCCCGATTTCTCAACTTTCTAAACCCAAGTCTCCAAACTCTAAATTTTCCACTCATCCTAAGTCAAACTGAATATTTCCCATTCGACTTTTCAACGAGTCTACAGCCCTAAATCTTCACATTTCCATCTCTACCTATTTAAAATTTTACACTCCAGTTTCTTAATTCTACTCAGACGGACTGTCTCTCCGACTTGGAATACTTAAAAATTCTCATCTCAACACGCGGAATTACCGCGACCGAACTGCTCGCAGCTCGCCGACACACTCCATCCCTTTCATCGAACCCCCGGTTTCTGAAAAATCATCAGAAAAAAAGGAAAAAGATAAAAGCGTCCCCCAGGAGGCCCGAAGTCATCGAAGCCGTGGCAGCCCAGAAACCCTAGCTCTTCAAGTTCCTCGTCGGAACCTGCAGAAGTAGCCCTTCAAGTTCCTCATTAAAATTTCCGTGGCACGGAGGAACGTCCCTCATTCCCATTCATCGAAACCTTCAGCTCATCCAAGACTCGTCAGCCCTTCCTCGCAAATAGACCTCGGAGATTCAAACGTATCAGCCGACTCGATTACAAATTACTCCCGGTAACCATCAATTATTACCAATCCACAATTAATATTACAACGATCGCGCCGAATCCTAATAAACTAATCACCTCTTGCATCAGTCATTACTACTCGAAAACTCAAACTCAAATAAAATCCTCACTCCATTGAACCCCAATTAACTAAAACCAAGCAACTAGAATAATTTATTTCTAAAACCAAAAACGAAACATCCCTCAATCCTCCAGTTTCAATGACCGAAAATCAAAAATCATCAATCGCAAAATTCCAAATCGTTTCAACTCGCCAAGAGCTCCTATTAACCCTTTGCACTCGAGAATATTTTTCTCAACAAATAATCATTTTCTGATGAAATATCAATATGTTTTACGACGAACATAAAAGAATACCTTGTATCAATTAAGCGACAGAACTATTTTATTTCGATGTTGAATTCTAAATTTCATCATTTCGCTCAGTCAAATTAAATGGCGATTGAAAGCCGCTCGAGTGCAAAG